GGTCTAATGCTGTTAGTCCACAAGGTGATCATGGCTGACAAATTAGCGAGGTTGTGTTAAGCAACCAGATAATCTGGTGTTCTTGTGAGTGAGGGGACGGTGCACCAGCCAGCCGACTGGGAGTCAGCAAACAACCACAAAAATATCTGGTTGCTACGGGATACTCTCTGGGTTTTCATCTTATGCAAAGAAAAATGTTATTAGTTTGAAACCAAAGCTTTTAGTTAATATACCTTGGTACTGACTATTGGCCCGTGGATAGGTAATGTGCTGCAGTGTATTCTGCACTTTTACTCTTAAATTAACAGTTTTTCGTCACAGCAACAGATCTGAGGACATTCATGACCTTTAGAAGATTTATTAATGTAGCTTTGTATTTTAACTCTGTTGTATTTCTAGGCTACAAGATCCTTTTTCGTCTTTGATGTTTGAGATCAGCTAATCTGTGAATGTTTCTTTCTCCACAGGCACATTGAGCCATCAGGTGAATGTTTCTACTATCATCTGAAGATCGAGGTCTTCAGTGAAACAAGCCGAGAGAATCTGACCTATGGAGCTATCCGAAACTCTGCCCAGAACATAAACATTCCTTGTCCACAGCCTGTTAAAGACACATGCAAAACATTCAACGGGAACTTCACATGGTTCAAGGTAAGGGAATCTCTGATTACTTTATTTTGTGAAAACACATCGCAAAAGTGGTCGGTTTCTAAGACATTAAAAGATTTAATTCTGTTCCATCATTTCTAACGTCTGTCTTGTTTTTATTGCAGGGAAAGAATCTGATTCCTGGTAAACACAGAGAAAGCCTGTGGGTAAATAATGCAACAAAAGACGATGAGGACATCTACACCTGCATATGTACCTGGGCTCACAACCACAAGCTGTACAACTCTTCTGGATCCAGGAGACTTTTTGTTTTAAGTGAGTCTTTTTAGACTGTTGGCTGTTCAGATGCAGACAGGCATGTGCTTTGCCCTAATAATTATAAATTGAAGAGAAAAAGTATTTGCTCCCTCCACTCTGTTTTTGCTTCTTTGTCACATTTGTTACATCAAACTGATATCAAAGATAACTTGAGTGCACACTAAAAGCAGTTCTCTAATGCTGATTCCATAAACTAAGGGAAAAGTTAACCAACCTGACCTTTGTATAAAAGTAATTTACCTCTAAACCTAATTGTATGTTGCGTCTTTCTTGGTGGTAAAAGGTCATTATGAGCTCAGCTGATCAACTCTATTCCAGTCGATCCTCATTTTGTTTTTCTATTGTGTGTTTGCTGCCATCCTCTTACTAGATGGGTGTTGGCAAGTTTTGCCAAGTCTTTTTCTTGTTGTTGAATCATAAACACTAACCTTAACCGAGACCCTGCAGATCTTTAGATGCTGTTCTGGATTCTTTTGCAATTAATGATCTTCTGGTGTAATTTGGTCAGACTGACGAAGACTCTCCACTGTTCCCTGTTTTATCCGTTTGTTAGTAATGGCTCTACTGTGGCTCACTTTAGTCTTTATAACCATCTCCAGACTGATAGACGTTAATAAACTTGTTTTTGATCTGTTCTTGGGTTTATTTATTCTTGAGACGTTTTAGCCTTCTGCTTAAGTGATTTATCGATTTTTGCAGATCTGGGAGTATTTAAGTCTGTGGCTCGTGAAAGTGCGCTCCGCTTTCTAAAACGTGGATAATCAGAGATAGTTTATGGTTTAACAAAAGGGAATTGTACCTTTACTTTATCAAACTTTGCTCCCTTACAGAGAAAGCTGTTTATGAAGACGTAAAAATCATCTCTCCGAATACAAGAGAGCAGCTGGTTAAGAAAGGTAAGAAAACTTCCTAAAACATTAACATCACACCTCCTCAGTCTCAGTTTCTGAGCTTTATCACAGAAAAGCTGTTGTCAGAGAAAATTCACTGCTTAAAAATAATACTTTTTTTCATTATATTTATGATAAGGTAATTTTACTTATATAGCACATTTTCAGCAACAAAGTTCTGTACATGAATTAGAAGGAAATACAAACAAAACAAAACAAAAGCAAGTGAAAATAAAAGTATAGAAGTTCATATTGGTTCCCCATGTTTAATAAAAATAAGATTTTATAACCTAGTAGGGGTTCCTCTGGATTCATGATCCGATAAAACGAGATGTTGATTAAGGTATAAAGTGGTCCTAAATGTAATTAATAGTAGTAGTGGTATTTGTTGCATTGTTAACTTTGTTTTTATTTTGGACTGCCATGTTCAAACAGGCATTATCTGTCTGGCATAGATTTGCAATACACTGACACACTGACACTTCACTGACTCCATAAAACTAAAAAGAAAAAAAAAAGACAATTTTCTAGACACTGTTTATGAGCAACATTTAATCACTTCTCATATTGTTTATTCCACACAACTTTATTTTGGTAAAGCTTCTTGATTCAGCTGAATATTTACTTCAAGTAAATAGTATGAATTTCTGTACAATTATAAATATAAAAATTATTAATGTTTTTGGTGTGAAATCGATTCTGATTTAGAGATTGGTTGCAGATGAATGCAAATAACCCTTCAGTACAAATAAAACATACACACACACCGTGAATGGAAACTATATGTTAACGTAACAAACCATCATGTGTTCAACAGGCTCCAGCATGAAGCTGAACTGCACCGTTTACTGTGGGATTAATGCAGAACGGGACTGTGAGGCCACATGGTGGATTAATGGAAAACCAGCGAAGCAGATGGATGGATACAACGAGACCAGCACATTGTAAGTCTGAACATTATGTTAACTATGCTGTGGTTAATTTAGATTATTATTATGAATTTATACTTTTTCCACCTATGGATAACCATTATGGTAATAAAACATTTCGTAATAATCTATTTAAAAAGTTGAATAAAGTTATTTAAATGTCCATTCAGAAAATTGACATTTAAATTGATGTCGTAACAATTTTGTGTCATAGCGATTTATTCATCATGTATTATGTTGAAGTAAGCACTTGACAGGTAATTGTTTTTCACTTCATGTTCCAACGTTTTAATGAAGTAAATTTTATTTTATTTCTTAGAGACATCAAGGTTCCTTCAAAGGAAACCTTCTTCACAGCAATCCTGACCATCGCAGAGGTTTCAGCCGAAGATTTCCAGAAGAAGTTTCAGTGCAAAGGCTCAGGCTTCTATACAGCAAACTCTGCAACTTTATCTCTGAAGAACGATGGTTAGTGTCAGGATGCATTCCTAAACTTTTCAACTTCTGCCTATGATAAGCGATTGTTTATGTCGCTGGTGATAATGTGCTGACCCAAATTAACAATCAGCATGCTGGTTGTTAATTTGGGTTGGTTTTTGTGTATGTTTGATTATTTACCTTGTGTTATTTGTATTCATTTTTTCTTGGTAAATTCTGTTGATTTTTCTGTTGTTTCTAAAGCTTTGCCGTATAAGGTAATTCCTCTGTTTGTTTGTTTTTGCTTTGTTCTGTTTCCTGTAATGGAGTATCTTCACATGTCTGCCTTAAAATTCAACCAAACAGCTTTTTAGTTCTCATTAAAAACTAGAAAGATGAAGCCCAACTCTAAATTTCCTACCCTGGCTCCCTGAAGTGAAGACAGTAGATTCTAAAGTGCTTTTGTTAGTTTGTAAATCACTTAATGGCCAAGTCCAAGATGCGTTGTCGGTTTAAGCACAAAAACACATTAAGCGACCTGCTGTCGCCATATCAATGCTCCAGAACATTCAGGTCTTTGCATCTCCAGACTCAGAACCAAACATGGAGTAGCAGCATTCAGTTTTTATTCTCCACTAATCCAGAATGCACTTAGAAAAAAAATAGCAAAAATGCTGAAACACTGAGTTCCTTTAAATTAAGGATGAAATTTTATTTTATTTCTTTTTTTAGATTTATCTTTAATAACAACTGGGACATCATAAAGTGTTGTCTGATTTTGTCCCTTACTTTGCCTCGACAATGTAATGTTTTATGCCTGTTTGTTCTTTTATTTTCTTTCTAGTCATGTAAAACGCGTTGAATTATTTTGTTGCTGAAAATGTACCATTCAAATAAAATTGCCTTCCCTTGCCTTGCATGAATATTATCTCATTTAAACTTTTGCCAGGTTTTGTACTTTGTTTCAGATCTTTATAGTTCAGTTAGTCTCCATCATCAGTTTCCCTTGTTCAACATTTCTGCTCCTTTTGAGCCATTTTACTACCTTGCTGCAGTGGCCCAGGAGGGTCAGAAAAATGCAAAAACCACAACAGTAAAAACAACAGAAGTTATGCTAAAACTATTAAGTTCCATATTATTTTTTGTCCATATGGCTCCACATTTTGCTGTAAGACCTATATGGTTTTTTGTTTTTCCTTCACTAAATCTTATTTTCTCACCTGTCTGTGCTTTGGCTCAGCCACACCAACTATGATACAGGATCATTTTATAATATTGTGCAAATTAACTGGACACAATTTGAATTTGTTAGAAAAGCACAAAGATAAACCAACAACTTTTTTTCTGATTTGTAAATCCCCAGTGGGTGGCCTAGACATGCTGACCCAATGGAGGTATTCTGATGTCTCTGCTTTGGGAACCAATGGCTGAAACTGAACAATAAATTGCTGTTCTTAGATGAATTTTGCTGGATTTGCTATGAATCTTACTGAAAGCATATTTGCATTTGTCTTGCAGAGTCCTTCACTTTCATCATTGTTTTTCTTGTTTTGGGCGTGTGTCTGATCTTGTTCGCCGCTGTGGTGGTGAAACATTTTCTGTCAGTGAGGCCCTACTGCCCTCCAAGAAGATGCAATAAAGGTACAAGATGCTGAAGGTTTCGCTTCCTCGGATGAAATCTGTGGGTTATTATCAATTTAAGAAGAAGACTAAATAAATTAGCTGAATTTAAGCCTCCCAGCAATCATGTAACAATTCAGAGACATGAACAATGCTAAATGGGTTTTTTATGAGAAAATTGGCATTATGATACAGGGGAGCAAAGGAAAGAGGAGGGGGATTTAACTTAAGGGGTTACTCAAACTTAAGGATTTGTAGTTTACAAACGAAATTATGGAATAAGTTAAATGAGGAGGTAAAACAAAGTCAAAATTTAATACAATTTAAAAGGAAATATAAGGAGGTCATTTTCACAAGATATAGAAATATGGGTGAGAGATAGCACTAATGTGTGTAAATTGAGTGTGTGTGTGTATATATGAATGTATAGATGTTTTTATCTAGACATACGTAAACCCAGATAAAATGGAAAATTAATTAACCTGTTTGTTATTTTTTTATTTAATAATGAGGGTCCATCTGAAAATATTGTATGAGTTTATGGAGTCGCAGTTCATAAGTTTCTTACTTCTTCCTACTCCTTTTTGAACATGTTAAGATTATTGTGGTACAAAAATATGTGTCTTTGCATTCCTTGTTCATGTGTCTGATTTTATACTTCTATCATGTTCAAAATAAATAAACTCAAAATTGTGACAATACTGTCTGGTCTGTCTGCTCAACTATTTTTGAAACTGATCCATTGATGGCGCAAATCATTATTACTTCTTTAAGCTGTGCGCTGCTGTGTGACATCTGTGTTGTTATTCTGTACATGTGGATCTAAACCACACCGCCCTGGCAGAGGTGTGGTTGTCATACATAATTAGAATAGAATAGAATAGAATAGAATAGAATAGAATAGAATAGAATAGAATAGAATTTATTGATCCCCAGGGGGATTTGCTACTCCATCTGAGATACTAAATATCAATAATGCAAATATAACCATATACCTAAGAATGATGAGATATGTCTAAATTTAAATTAATAAATAAGCATACACATGCAAATATATTAATCAATAGATAATCTATAAATGAGTGCAGAGAAAAATTGAATTAATTAGCTCAGACTTGGGCATTGTAAAGTCTAGTGGCTACAGGCAGAAATGACTTTCTGTGTTGCTCTGTGGTTCACTTTGGTAAAATGAGTCTCTGGCTGAAGCAGCTCCTGTGTCCGGCCAGCACGTCATGGAGTGGATGAGACTCGTTGTCCAAGATGGCCTCCATCTTGGACAGCATCCTTCTTTCTGACTCCACTGTCAGAGAGTCCAGCTCCACTCCAACGACGCCGCTGGCCGTCCGGATCAGTTTGTTCAGACTATTGGTGTCCTCCACCGTCAGCCTGCTGCCCAAGCACACCACAGCATGCAGGATGGCACTGGCAACCACAGAGTCATAAAACATCCTGAGCAAAGTCCGGGAGATGTTGAAGGACCTCAGCCGTCTCAGGGAGTAGAGGCGACTTTGGCCCTTCCTGTACACAGCATCAGTGTTCTTGACCCAGTCCAGTTTTTTGTCAGTGTGGACTCCCAGAAAGTTCTCCACAATGTCCACACTGACCCCCTGGATCATAACAGGGGTCACTGGTGTCCTGGTCCTCCTCCTCAGATCCACCACCAGTTCCTTGGTCTTTGTCACATTGAGCTGCAGGTGGTTCAGCCCACACCATGTGACAGAGTTGTCTACAGCAGCCCTGTACTCAAACTCATCACCCTCACTGATACAACCAACCACAGCTGAGTTATCTGAGAACCTCTGGAGATGACAGGTCTCAGTGCAATAGCTGAAGTTGGAGAGGGTGAAGAGGAAGGGAGAGAGGACAGACCCTTGTGGAGCTCCTGTGTTGCTGACAACACTGTCTGACACTAGTAGACCACACGAACTGTGGTCTACTAGTTAGACAGTCCATACTCCAGGACACCAGGGGGTAGTATGAACGACCACGCACACAAAGTCAGAAGTGAGCATCAAGATCTACTGTGTGAACACAGTGACAACCAATCAGACTGGAGGTTTTCCTCAGAACTGTTTTCACAGCTCCACAACAGAAGTCTGAAAGGAAAAATCTGGTAGTGAGAACTTTTAAAAACAGCAAGGAGACGTTTGATGGAACCAACTCGAAATCATGATCCGTTATTCATCAGGCATGACAGTTGAGGGCTAAAATCCATCATGAGTGAAAAGGAGCAACACTTTTTTGAGGTTAGAGTGTAAGAGGCTAAGGAGCTGGGTTTACTGGGTGCTGTATTAAGTGTCAGAACAGAGAGATGAATAGTTCAGGAAGAATTGTAAGTCACTGCCTGGTGAGTGGGATTACTCACACCTTCCTCCAGGCCTGCAGCGCCTGACCCGTCAGAGCACCCCCATCAGGTGACCCCAGTGCTCACCGATGGCCTCCAAATATAAGTCGCCCTTCTGGAAGAGAGTGCCATACCTGATGCCAGCCAGACCCGCCAGAAAACGAGATTCATCTGCCATCATCTAAAACCGCTGAGCTTTGAAATGTGAACATGGAAAATTAAACTGAAATGACGGACGGATTCTCTACAATGAATAAAGATGAATGACTTTTGTTTATTATTTTTAAGAATATAGAATGCATATTTGAAAAAGATGAAACAATAATAGCAAAGTAAATTTAAATTTCTGAAAACACTAACAAATGAGAATCACTTCACTGACTCACAGCTGTGTGTGCAGACAGACACACACCTACGTTACAGTGAGACCTGTGCCATTTGGAGGTCAAGGAAAGGTACAGTAAACGGTTTTTTCAAGCACCTGTAATATAATGCATACTGTAAATATCAGCTTCATAATATTTACACTGAACACATTTTGAAAGCATATATCTTCTGCCTGGATTTGTTATTATGTTATTATAGTATTTATTAGTATTACTGTTATTTGGGAGGGACTGGTGGTCATTTTTTCCCCATTTTATCCCTAAAATACTTGAATTTGTGCAGAACTTTTTATTTTGCTTGTCTGTTGGCATCCTTTTAAATTATTTAATCCAAAGTTTCTCTGTAGTTGAGTAACCTTTTTATAAAATACTTCTGGGAAGTAGTTCTACTCTTACTTGCGTACATTTTTTAAGGTATTATCCGCCAGTGGTCACTTGGGATATCTATGCTGTGGAATATACTTCATTTACATCACATAGAAACAGATATGTAGAAAGGTCTGAAGGAATGCAAAAACTCCAGCTGTAAATTTTTTACACAACAAATTTTGTCCTATGGGGTGTAATTATTTATTTTTCTTTTTTTAAATAGTTGACTGTGTATTTTTCTTATTTACATAAAAAATATATTTTAAACATGTTTTATAGTATGAATAAAAAGGTGCCAGAATCTGAGAGTGGTATCTTTTTCTAAAATACTGTACATACGCAGCGGATTGAGTGTTATACACCTTCGTGTCCAGCAGATGGAGGTAAATCTCTTGCATTTTTGTTCAAACCTTATGGTAGAAATACGGCAGATTTCATAAAAGTAACATTTACTTGAGAAAACCGGGGTTTTATCTAAAAGTTGCTCGTGTCATGGAGCCACAGAAAGAAATCCACACTTTGAACTTTTTCCAAAACTTCTTGAGTATATCCCTCGCTGCTATTGTGATGCGTGGAACCAAATTGTAAGATAAATGTAGAAAAAAAATGTATCATTCACTTAGTGCTAACATTGCTAACTAGGTTAATTTGGAGCTGTTTCAGAGAATGTAAAAATAGAAATGCAACATAATGTATCAGACGTGTCTTACAGATTACGGCCGCTAGATGGAGACATTACAGCAGGATCGGTGGGGGGAACACTTCCGGTTCTGTCAGAGCGCGCCGTATTTCATATGTGACATTGCAGAAGAGATAACTCATTTTTGTCACTACAGCCCGTGCAGTCATGGAGGGGAACTGTAATAAATGATGGAGGATTAAGTCGAGACGCCTGTGGTGCCATGTAAAGGTAGGCGGTGACCCGTTACTTCCAGGTTTATCCAACTCGGAAAGCGCTCAGGAAAGATAAAGTGTCTTTTAAGTTTTCCAAACAGGGGAACAGTTTCCTCTCCTGTCGCAGTCACAGTCGACAAGATCTTCAGTGGGAAATAAAATCTACTAAACAAAGAAAAGTCACAATAATCTCAGTGTGATATAATCTGAAATGCACAACGTAATCTCACTGCTTTTATGACTGCAGCTGGTTCCGTCCTGCTGCAAAACGTTTTTACACATTGATAGAGCAGCATTAACCATAACAATAACTGTTATTTAGATTGTGAATCATAAAAGAACAGCTTTCAAGTCCTACTTTCTGTGCATTGACATTTTCTACTCTTTAGAATAACGCCATAATAAACTGATTCACAGGTGAATAACCAGTAATTAATAACTATCTGCTTGAAGACATGCAGCTTATTGCTTCCAACTGAAGGTTGAAAACAGAAATCCCTTAATAAGAGTAATGGGTCCCTTTTTCTACATCGTCTACAACAGTCTGTCATGTTCAATAAAAATAATATGTATTCCTTTTGAAAAATAACTCATAACCAATATTAAACATGCTGTTTGCTAAAGCCACATTTCTGCATCAAAATGTTTTTCTTATTATTTGTATTGTATTGGGCTGATGTCATATTTGCATTTTAAATCAGATGGTTTTTATTAGCTGTAAGCAAAAAATTAACAGAAATAAAGGAATGCAAATGTCAGCCTGTGTAAATAGTGAACTGAGTTGAATAAATTAACTATTTTCAAATTTATTTACTTTTTTTTTCTTTGTTTGAATGGGTCTGTATTTCACACGGGCCATATTTCTGTGAAGGAGAATTTCTGACCCACTGAACCAGGCATGCACTTCTATTTTTAAGCGCAGACGAGCTCATCGTATTTATATGCACATTCTCAGGGTTGTCTGGGCGCTAGTAAACAAGATCTTTGTGGTTTATGACCATTACAAATAATTTATTCCCATGCGATTTATTTTTTTTTCTTTCCTTTTTATCAATTTATTTTATTTTCCCATTACCCACGATACACAGCAACAATATAATGCGGGGGGAAAAAGAAGAGAAAAGGGGAAGTGCTGCAGGTACGTGGGTGAACAGCTCAAAATGATTTCTTCACTCATGAGTTTGTTAGCTTTTTAATCCTTGCAGTTTCATAAAGTGAATTTTTTTATATAATAATTTGCTCTTAGGCATGAATTCAGCCTGTTTCTCCTTTTGACTCTGTGCATGCTCTGCACATGTCCCCATGTGCCCTTTTACCTCTTTTTTTTTTTTTTTTTTTTTTTTAGCAAGCTGCTGGTCAGGCTGGGATATGTGTGTGCATGTGTGTGTGTGCATGTGTGCATGCGTGCATGTGTGTGTGTCAGTGATCAGCAGGAGCAGCACCATGGCACACTCCTAAAGAAAAGGCAGGGGGATGGAAGGGGCTGAATGACGTTTGGCCTGGCAGCTGGGAGCTGCTCCAC